CTGTTTGATGTTTTTGGGTCACTCCCGGACAAAAAGGGGAGTAGTTTTGGGGTACTGGTATCAATGTTTGTTTTGCAGATGGCTATTTGGACGTTTCTGTTTATATGATGTGGCTATTATTGATATGGATATTGGGGGCTATATGTTTTATCTATATGTTTTTGTGTTATATCTTGATGTTTGGTTTGATAGGTTTTGGTTTGATATGTTACTTTTCAGGTTTGATGGAGTTAGCTTTGATTACAGGTTTTCCTCAAGTTTGGTTTATTGGTTCAAGATGTTCGTTCCGTTTGTTTTGAGATTGGTTGCATAGTTGGTTTACCTTGAGTTGTAATAGTTTTAGCTAGTTCATTGCTTTTAAGTTGTAATCGTTTTAGCTAGTTTGTTTTGTTTAGGAAATTGTGTTAGGAAGTTTTGTCCGGGTATTGACAAAGGGGGAGATTGTTAGGTCCCTAAGTCTTGTCAATTCCACGAACAAACTGTTGTAATCGAGTTGTTAATATTCTGTGCTGTTTTGTGTGTGCTCGCTCGAGCGAAGAAGGACTCGCTCGAGCGAAGGACTGCGTCTGGCTGCCAACCTGAAAGAGGTCATTGTGCGCTCGAGCGAAGCATTGGAAGGCTCGAGCGAGAACTGCATCTGCGTACAAACCTGAAAGAGTTTATTCCTCGCTCGGCGAAGAACTTTCTGGCTCGAGCGAAGGTCATTATGGAAGTCACGCGAGATAAGCTTCTCGCTCGAGCGAGATAAGCTTCGCTCGAGCGAGCTTCCGAATCCGGAAATCTATAAGTAGTTGGTCTCCAATCGTTTAGGATTACTTTTTGAGATCTACTTTGAGATTTTCTGAGGTCTTCTTGTAGAGAGAATTTTGGTGAGTTTTCCTTGATGTCTTGAGAAGAGTTCTTCACTCATGATCTAAATACATACATCAAGAGTTGGTTTCTTTAAATTCAAGAGAGAGTTCTCTTCGTGGATTCCGAAGATTCAAGCGTATAGTTTCAAAAGGTGTTTGATTCTATATGTGAGTGAGGTTGTGGAATCAACTTCAAGATTGATCAGTTCCGAGATGAAGTCGTGAAAAAGAAGTTACAGAAAGATTCGAAGACAGATTGACTAAGTTGGGTAATCTTTGTATTTGATATCTTTGTAATCTTTTTACTTCAGTAGTGGATTGATTTGTGGTGTTTCGCCCGTGATTTTTTTAATCATGTTGGAGGTATCAATTGTGGTTTTTTCCACGTTAAAATCGTTTGTGTCAATTTATTATTTAATCTGAAAAACAAACAATCTAAATCACTTTCGTAAGTGCTTTGTTGATTTAAATTGTGTGTTTTGGATTTGGGATTTGGAATATATTTTAATCTTGATCTAATCACGAATCACTTAGATTTCAATAGAACTCAGTGGCAAGATTCCTTCAACCAAAAGGACTACTGCAGACTTTGGAGATATTGTGAGTATCTCTATCGCATAGCCATTAAAATCATAATAAGATGCTAGCTGTGAATACCATTAAATTTTTTTGAATTGAGTATATACAGTGTTGGCAATGGATTTTCCTGGATATGTACGAATGAATTTCTATTTACCCACTTGCTAGCTGCTTCATTTTTGCAATATTTTTCAGCCTTGATTCAGCTGTTTCTTGAGATGCTCAAAGTTTGAAATATGAATATATTCATATGTATTATTCATTCTTTGAAACATGGCGAAACGATGCAACATGTAGTACTCAATTTCTTAGAATTCTACTTCCTGATTGATTGCTATTTTCCATTAAAAAGACAACATTGGAGTGATGAGCTGATAGTCTCTTGCAAGAACTGAACTTCAAGGGTTGCCCACTCGTTGACAGTTCTAAGGGAGGATCAGCATGAATGTGGTGTGGCTGTTTTGGGCCAGTCACCACTGCCCTTTCATTATTCTCTTCATCCTTCATGTTTGGTAAGCTTGTTGAACATATACTTCCAAGTATTATACATAAGGTCTTGCTAGCAGTCCTTCAATTAACCCCGCGCATTTGTTTCTCTTCTTTACAGAGCTTGCTGAAGAGGCAAATAGGCTTGTGAACTAAGGTTGTCTCTTCTCTTTTTTTGTGCTATCTTCTTATTGCACACTGTAGTATTAAAGCAGCTGGATAGACACAGTGTTGTCTTCATTTTGGTTGCATTCATTGTATAAACTAACAAATCACAGCAGCATTATATGATACTCTTCAATACCCTTGAGTTTATATTTGATGTAACAGGCATGAGTTAAAGACAAACCTTCTATAATCATGTTGTGTAGTCATAACATATGAGTTAATTTAAGTGTTTGAACTGTTAGATGGTTAGGTTTCCTGATCAGGCACTTTGGTAATACAAAATTTGAAAATGGCCATTTTCAAAAAAGGTTCCAGATATGACTATTTATCTTGTTTAACCAATTTTTCCTTGTTATTCAGCATGAACTTCAATTTTAGGCACAATTTGTAAAAATACTAAGATGTCTAGCCAATTTAATGATGCTGATACATAGACATTTCTCCATGTTATATCACTTATCTCTAACTACTTTAAAGGCTAACATGACTTGATTTCTGCAGTGGAAGCTCTTGGTGAAATAGTTGAACAACTGGGTAAAAAAGGCTGGAATTTCAATTTGAAACATTATGACAAAAACTTGAACTGGCAAACACCAATAGTGGACTCCTCCCTTATGTCTGACTGTACTGTCAATTGCACCTGCCTTTCTGATGATGAATGTCACATCAGTGCCATGTATGTTCCTTTTTATGTTTTTAAATATACTTATATTTCAACTCAATTTTTTGCTTAAAATGTTATTTATGATTTTTTATTTTATTTATTTTTAAAATTAGGAGCAATGATGTTTGAATATTAGCCTATGCTCTGTATGTTAAACTTATTAATGTCAGTTGAAAGTCCAAATTCTGTTTTGTATAGATGAAAAAAAGAGTAATGTGCTGAGAAAACCCTGGTATTGTTCTGTCACTTCTTATTTACACGACGCAACCGGTTGCCATGAACATTATTCATATATTGCTAATTACTAGGGTTGTTGGGAAAATTAAGGTTGTATTTGATGTCCCATAGAAAGGGAACGACTGCCAACAGTACTCATAGTAATTTCGAAGTGGAAATCTGATATTTGAGTATGCAAAGTGACAAGAATAAATGGCAGCCAATCTACAAATGAAATTCAAAATAACGAATATTGTCATGTACTAAAAGAACATAAATATGATCACTTTCAAGATAAATGAGCGAATTTTCTGTTCTTCATTAGGTGACCTCATTTTAGTAACAGTTGATTGAACTTTTCACTTCTCATACCATAAATGTTTGGTAGGTGCGTTCGAATTCAGTTCAAAAATGTTAAATGTCCAACACACCAGAGGCACCAATACACATCTATAATTAGGCATGTAAATCTGCAGGATGTATGTACTCTAATTACTTGGAGTTTTTCATGTTTTGTGCTTTTAATTATTTGTTGTTATACATTGTTGGTTTTTGAAAAATTGAATTCTGTAATTATTTATTTTCATGGAGATGACTCTCTTAGGTAATATATTGTATACAAATCTCTAATTCAAGGATGAATAAATAATGAGTGCAGCTAGAAATTTCAGGATGCAGACAAGATTAGAAAGATTGAAGCAGATTCAAACAAAACCACCATGCCCATGGTTTGCGATGATGATTTCAATTGGTATCCTTGTAATTGCATTGCTTCTTGGGCATATAATCAACGCAACAGTGAATCGAATAGCCAAAGTAATGATTTATTTTGGCTTCTACAAGGGTATCAATATCTTTTGTAGCTTCATACTATTTGTGTGGAGAATCAAAATAATATGTCATTTTTGGTGGCTGTGGGGAAAGATGGGACAGTTTAACAACTGGATAAATTACATTATTTTTGGTGTGATCTAAATGTAAGTTTATAAATTAATTAGTAAGTTTATTCATATGCTTCTGGCGGTTTTTAAATTAATTGTGTTTTTTATTTTTTCAGGTCAGAAATTTCTTGGAGAGATGCAAAATATGGTCAAAGAATTCAAGAACTTACTTTTTTCAAGTTTTTATTTTTTATTTTTTAATGTATGTAATCACAGTTAATTTTTTTTTATTAATTTCTTTGTATATACTTTTAAACATTTAAACTTTCATTTTATAAATATATATGATATTATTTCATTCAATATATGTTGTGATTCAAAATATAGTATATAGTGTGTATTACATTATTCAAATGCGCGTGCAAAAATAAATATTGATTATTCTTTAAATATGTCAATTTTTTTTTTATCACAGGTTTATTAGTTATTAATCACACTTAAAAGGTGTGATCTAAATGTTTTTAATCACACTTAAAAGGTGTGATCTAAAGTTTTTAATCACACTTAAAAGGTGTGATCTAAATGTTTTTAATCACACTTAAAAGGTGTGATCTAAAGTTTTTAATCACACTTAAATGTGTGAACTAAAGTTTTTAATCACACTTAAAGGTGTGATCTAAATGTTTTTAACCAACTTAAAAGGTGTGATCTAAATGTTTTAATCACACTTAAAAGGTGTGATTTAAAGTTTTAATCACACTTAAAAGATGTGAACTAAAGTTTTTAATCACACTTAAAAGTGTGATCTAAATGTTTTTAACCACACTTAAAAGGTGTGATCTAAATGATTTTTTAATCACACTTAAAAGGTGTGATCTAAATATTATTAATCACACTTAAAAGATGTGATGAAAGCATTTTTTAATGACACTTAAAAAGTGTGATTAAAATGACCATTTTTAATCACACTCCTAAAGACCACACTTTAATAAAACTTAAAAGGTGTGATTAAAAAACATATATCACACCAAAAAAGTGTGATCTTTATCTATATTTGTAGTAGTGATTAGAGTTTCAAATTAATGAAGAAAAATATACAAAATGCAATTCATGAACTATCGATTCCTTCTTTGAATAGTCTGCAAATGTTAGCAAATATATGAAACTGAAATGAAATTAGAATTACATCATTCTAAGTCTGATTTCAATTAAAAAATCTGATGGTGGTGTGGGTTTATGTTTTGTTCTTGTTGATTTTTAGTGAAAATGCATTTGTTAGAAACTAGGAGTAATTCAAAACCAGTTAAGCAGAATTGAAAAACTTGTGTATGAATAGGGTTTAAGGTTTTGATTGATTTTTCTTTAAAAATCTTTGGTTGTGTTTGGTAGAGTTTTGTAAATATGATTTGAGAGTATGAGTTGTATTTTGAGTTTGTGAGTTGTGGAATTATAATTTGAGTGTAGAAAATTTTTTTGGTTATGATTTTTAAATAGAGTGTTGAATTGAGTTTTGAATTGTATGTAGAATTGAGTATTGAAAGTTTGAGGTGACATGTGAAATAAGAAAATTTGTTTGGTGATGAGTTTTCAAAACTTAATTCAACTTATAATTGATAATCAAACACACAACTCATATATCGATATTTGTATTTTTGATCAACAGTCATAACCAAACTATTTTTAAAATACTCAAATAAAAAAAAATTAAAAAAATTCAATTAATTGTTTACGTTTTTAATATTTTTAAAATTTTTTGTTGAAGTCAACAACTTTAGAGATTACATATTGATAAAAATTAACAAAAATCAGTGTGTTCAATATTTTTAAATACAAACCAAAACGTAAACGTTACCAAGCATTATCAACATTTTTTCATTTATTAAATTTTATTAATTTAATAAAAAAATTTGTATCTTTTTTTATAGGTTCATTATTGCCACCTAACTCTCACCTACATGTGAAGCTCATATAATTGGGGGCAAGAGTGATATTTGTGTACGAAATGATCATTTCGCTCCTCTTTCATAGAATGGTAGGTTGCTATGTAAGAATAAAATGAAAAGGGTAATAGTGTAATTTCGCAATAAAGATAGACCCACCCCTCCTATGCTGGGTGTCAGTTCATCATTGTGTGATAAAGGAAAAGAAAAAAGAAGCCAAAAACCTGCACATATAGTCAGTAATCAATATACGGAAAAAATTAAAAATAAGTAAGAAAAAAAAAAGATCAGTATACTAAAGAAATAAAAAGTAAAAAAGAAAAAAAAAAAAAAACCCCTTCTGGACTTTCTGGACCTGAGCTTTTATATAAATTAGTATCTCTGCATTTGTTTAACCACACCATCTTCACCACCTCGTTCCAACAACTTTAGTAACTCTTTTACCCTACAATATTGACTACATTTAGTGTAGATATCCGTCTGAAGGAAGAGAGAAGAGGTTAGTTTGAATCACAGTTCATATTCTTGATAGCTTCAGAGCTGAGTTGCAAGAAGGCGAAGAATGCACCATACGGGACAACCGGCCGGTCATCCCGCCGGTCATCCGGTTTCATCCACCAGTTTGCCTTTTGCGCTCAGTTTCGCTATCTGTTGGTTGCCTTTTACTAGAGGCTCAGTTTGCCTATATGTTCCTTTTTTTTCACACCAACATCATACATTTTACTATACATTTTTCATACATTTTTATTAATTTTTGCAGTCATCATGCTGAGAACAAAAAGAGCGAGACCTGAACGTGGCGAAACCTCTAACCCTGTACAACGTCAACTATAGCAACAACATCATCGCTATCCAATTATTGATTTTCTCACATATAATCACGAACAAACTTATTCAAATTTTGCTAATCGACCAATTGTTATGGGGAGAAAGGTAAATCTACCTACTCAATATGATTCACTGTTGGTTGGCAGACTGGATACGATGGGATGGTTACCTTTAACTAATTTATCACATAAGGTATATCTCCGTCTTGTATATTTATTTTACCTTCACTTGAGATCTACTAAGGGACAAGTGGAACAGTGTAGTCTGACGTCTTATGTGAAGGGGGAAGTAATCACACTCAATCCTCGTACTTTCGCACAAATTATTGAAGTTGAAACAAGAGATTTGCAATGCCATTTTCAAACTGAGGCTCAGTTAGCTAACATTGTTGGTGATCTAACTGAGATTTATACCACAATTTGTGAGAAACAATTTATCGGCACTAATTTACAAGCAAGACATTTAAAACCCCACATTCGTATTCTTCATCGATGGATAGTTGAAAATGTCACTCCCAAAAAAGGACATTTTGATGTTGTTCCATGTTTTAATACTTATTTGTTATATTGTTTTGAAATTGGACAAACATTAGATTTATGCTACATATTATTGAAAGAAATTATTGTTGCAAATCTTGGAACTCTTAGTGGCCGGTCACTACCTTTTGGAGCTTTGTTAACCACAATTTTCAAAGCGCATCATGTCAACCTTGAAGGTGAAGTAGATGTGAGAATCACTTCACCAATTTCTACGTACACATTGACCCGAGCTGGTGGTGCTGAAAACTTATTGGACTCTATTACTTTTGAAAATGAGCCAATACCTAATGAGGAATAACCTACAATGGAAACAACAAATGGCTAATCAGGTCAATGCATTGGGTACTCGATTCGATGAATTTGCCGCCGCTCATAATTCACTAATTCAACAATTTAGTGAGTTTCGTGTAGACTTAGGGAGACGTGATAAAGTGATAAGGAACGGCATTGATCAGATTGACCATCGAGTCACTCAAATGTACCATCACTACTTTCCTCCACCTCCATCTCGACCACTACCCGACAATGATGCTTAACTTGTTTCGATGAGCGTTTAAATGGTTCACACATGCTGTGGTTACATTTTGTTTTCTCATTTTGTTGTGGTTATTTTATTTTGTTATTTTGTTGTAATCTTTTGTATTGACGTAATGAATAGTAAATTTCTTTTTTGCACTGTAAAATTAACCAGTGACTGTACGGGAAAGAAATAAACTTTCTCGTATAATCCTGTTGATCAAGTCTGCGCTCCTCCGAACGTCGTCGCTTTATTCCCTGAAAACACAAACGTGAGCTAGCCGACGGGTGTGTGCCGAATACCTCTCCGATGCCTAAGTCAGCAAAATAGACAAAGACAAAAAGTTCTGTGAATCAAAGTCGTGTCTTACCTCTCTATAGGTGATGTTGTGAACTTTTATAGGTTCCGTGTGGCACAATCCTAGTAGGGCTCTTACTCCTCAATGTAGAGTCCTCCTAGGAGTCATACTCCTGAAAGATAATGCTTATCCTTCAACACCCTCCTCACTGCTTAAACCAAGTGAGATGGTTTTACCATGGTCGGACTCCACTATGACCGAGGTAAGCATGGCTTATGCTAAGCCGCAGACTAGACCGAGCTAACTTTAGTTCGGCTCTGGCCGAGATAACCTCGATAAGCCAAGACCGGGCTACCTTTGAGTACGGCAACCGGGCTATGTTCAAAGCTTCCCTTAGACCGGACTAACCTCAAGATTCTTTCAGACTGGAGTAACTTTACACCTCTCTTGGACCGGAATAACTTTATCCCTCTCTTGGGCCGGAGTAAGCCTTTTTACTCAGCCCTTCGCAATGTGGCCCATAACGGCCCATTACCCAGCTCGGTCCAATTTACAAGTATAAATTACCCTCTCAATTGCCCCTTAATTCCATCTGCGTAGCATGATAGGGATTACCTGGTACCAGCCGAGCTAAAAAATTTCAGAATTCCAACCGAACTAAAACCATTTAGCCTTTCCAGCCGGGTAAAAAACCCTTTTAGCCTTTCCAGCCGGGCTAAAAACCACCATTTTAGCCTTTCCAGCCGAGCTCAATTCCACACTGGGCTGTACCTGTCCGGTCAAAACGTCTCTTCAATCACAGCAACTGAATCGCTTCTCATTTCTATGACACGTGCCCCTCTGATTGGCCCAATGCAGCTGTCACGCCGTCTTCGTACTCCGTGAATTTTGAACATCCCGCCTCTAGTCTTCCATCAAAACAAAACTCTTTGTTTTGAATCTACCACTACCACTATTCATCTCCTTCACACTCTCTCTCTGTTCCTCTATTTTTTCAACCCTTGAGCTTGCTGAGTTCGTGCACTTTACTGTTGTGCTTCCATCTTCAGTTTCCTCCTCTTGTCCTGGTAAGTTTACTCAAATCTGCCTTGTTTTTGTTGTTTTCGCATTTGCTTTTACAATACATGTATTTTGTGTGTTTTTTCAAAACACATACCTTTCTTTCGTGTAATAAAACCTTTGGCTTGTCACGATAAACTGAAAAACACTGATTTTGATCCAAAATCATAGTATAACCGAACTAAAAAGTCGTTTGTAGTTGACTGTCATTCCAGGCAGACCATTTAACCGAACTACACCTCACGTTAATGCCTTAGTTTTAATAAGTCAACCACCTTTTGTTTTAACTCAGCCGAGCTAGAATTCGCACTAAGTCTGAGTAATAGTGCATCTGTTAGTCACAACCACGGCCGAGCTATTAACTTGGGGCTAATCTAGCCTTCGTAGTTCAGACCGAACTAAGAGCGCTGCCCCCAGATGCTCAACCGAACTAACAAATCCCTTGCTATAAACCGAGCTAACAGACCTTTACTGAAACCGAGCTAACACCCGTAGTTCTTCACTTAACGAGATAGGACTCCACTATTTTACCTTGATTTCTTGCAGCACGGTCCATCGATCTGTGCATAACCTTTTTCTTTTTTCACTTTGCAGACTTAGGCTGCCAGGCACTCCTTCGCACGTTCAACCGAGCCACCAGCGTCATTTTTTAACTGGGCTAACACAGATAAATTATACATAACTTAAGAGTAAATGGGTAAATATAGTTTTGTAGAAACACCTAGCGGCATGGCCGAATTCTGAAGGGAGTACAACATTCCTGACGACGTCCACCTTACTTAGCCGAACAAGATATATACCCTGGGAAAACCCTGGTTTTGTTCCCTTTACCCTCCTTTCTATGTAGAAACCGGCCTAAGATTCCCTGTACAACCTTTACTCTATGAATTCCTTAGGCAAACCAGGATATGCCCAACTCAGCTTTCCACAAACTCATACCGCATATAAATAGCATAGCCGAGCTAAACCGCCGTGCTGGTATTAACCTCGGCTTAGCCGAACTCTTTCACCAATATTCTATAGGCTCAAAAGAAGACGGGTGGGTGTATTATTTAGAATACGCCGTCGTCGAGAGAAAATAAAACGACACACGGATAAAGACTGACGATGATGATTCTTCTGGGTTTCTAGGAACTTCGAAGACCAGAAGCCCAGATTCCTGGTGACCAAATAAACTGGAAATAAAGGGACCCCCGGTTAATTACCTCGGTTTCTTTGCTTGCTTCTGTTTTTGTTTTGGTATTCATTCCTTAACCGACTGACAGTTGTTTTCTTTATGCAATTCAGCCCACCTTAAGTCACTGTACAGTTACCCCAACTAAACACACTTCGCGCCGCGCTTTGGTATTCCGAAAGAAGTTGGGCCAGCTACTGAATTTTGAGCCGACATATAGAATACAGCGGCCGACGTAAAGCCAAGAGTAACAGACTTCTACTGGAAGCTCTCCCGAACCGGACCCCAATTGCCACAAATTAACCTGATTCGCACTACCAAAGAAGAAGAAATGGAGAACGGAATAGAGTGAAGGCCCTCTTAACCGAAACCGAACCAGCCGAAGTGGTTGTGGAGGCAGTAATCAACCCTTGGCTTCCCAGCATCAAATAACGAAGCGAAGTATGAGCACTTCTTGCAGGACTCAAATCAGCATTCTAGACATGAAGGCCACCGAACTAATGGTCTACAGCGACTCACAGCTGGTGGTAAACCAAATTTCTGGCAACTATGAAGCAAAGGATGACAGGATGGCCAAGTACCAAGAATTGGTCAGAACAGAGATCAAAAAATTTTAAAGTAGTAAGGATAAAAACAATTGGCAGGAGGGAAAAATAGCAGACAAACTGAACTAGTAGGTTTTGCGTCAAATGGAAGATACATTCATCCCTCACCCACTACTAATTGATTACCTACCAGACCAAGCATTGAGGACCCCGAAGTAGAAGAGGTATGTTGCGCCGAAATTAGGCCCTCAATGGATGGATCCATCATACTGTTCTTAAAAGACAGCGTCTTACCAGAAGACAAAAAAGAAGCCACAAAATTAGAAGCAAAGTCACAACAATTTTGGCTCTCCCCATCTATGGCATTGTACAAAAAGTCATTCTCAGGACCTTATCTAAAAGTGTGTCCACCCTAGTAAAGTAGAAGCATTCTTGTTCGAAATACATGACGGGGTGTGTGGAAGCCACCAAGGAGGGAGATCGTTAGCCTACAGAGCCATTTCACACAGGATACTGGTGGCCATACACGCAGGCAGACTCAGAAAAGTATGTGAAGAAGTGCGAGAAATGTCAGAAAGTTCGCACATCAAATACATCAGGCCGGCCAGAGAACTCCTACCATTGACCAGCCCATGGCCCTTTTGCAATGTGGGGCTTGGACATAGAAGGACCACTTCAACAGCGCTCGGAACAGGAAGTTCTTTCTCGCAGCAACAGACTACTTCACAAAGTGGTGGAAGTAGAAGCATTGGCATCAATCAAGGAAAAAAAAGATTGTAAAGAAGTTCGTCTAGAAGAATATCATTACTCGATTCGGCATACCTAAAGCCTAATATCAGACAAACGGTACCCAGTTTGATAGCAGAATCTTTAGAGGCTTTGTGAAGAATACAAAATAGAGTTCTACAATTTCTACACCAGCAATATCCCCGAGCCAACGGCCAGGCAGAAGCATCAAACAAGGTCATCTTGATGAACTGAAGAAAAGTTAAGAAGGCAAAAGGTAAATGAGCGGAGGAACTTCTCATGTTTTTATGGGCTTACTAACCACACCCTCGACGATCAACAGGAGAAACACCATTCTCCTTAGCCTACGGCATGGAAGTAGTAATCCCACGGAAGTTGGCCTTCCTATAATTAGAAGCGAAAATTTTGATCCTGATTGAATGGAGAAGCCAAGCATTGAACTCGACCTCGCCGAAGAAAGAAGAGAAAGAGCATTAGTTCACATTGCCTATACCAACAAGAGTTATCAGGAAATTACAACAAAACAGTGTATCCAAGGCAATTCAAGATCGGAGATTGGGTGCTGGCAGAG